TCTAGAGTGTCATAAGCATCTCACGTTGTGTTGAATATGAGGCATACTTCATAGTCATTGAATTCATACGAGGCACGTGTGTCCACTTAGGTGTGTGATTCTCACTTTATACAAATCACATAACCTAGCATGCTTGACACTTAGCATTTATGTATGCTCGCTATGTTCATGCCATATGCTTGTTATTTATCATATATTTGTTGTATGTCATATCCTTGACATCTCTCAGATATATTTTATCTATTTTCTTATATTTGAATGTGTGCTCGGTGAGTGTCTCCCTTGTAAGGTGTAAATCTTCATTATAGACATTTTTTTACTTAATGTAAACTCACTCGTATTCGGTTCCTGCTTGTTGCACGCACCCTGGGTCCACAGGCAAGCGCAATTCCTTTTTATATGTAGCATAATTTACCAGTACATCTTGTTTGTGTGTGTCCTGTTGCATTTAAGCATCATTGCATTTGTTTACATGTTGTGTGTTTCGCCTTTTGGCGCCTGTTGTGATTCTTTCATGCTTCGATCGAACAATCATATTGTGGGCTTCTTGCATGTCTGTATGCTTACCTACTTGCTTCAATGGTGGCTTGTTCTACTCACTAGGAGAGTGAACTGTTTCTTGGTCGTGATACTCAAATGAGCATTGGTCGTGAGGATGCACGCGATGAGCAATGCGTTTCTGTATCACGAGTACCAAACAATATGAATGTGTTAATGATCCAATGACTCTACTCTGTTCCCCTCTCCCTCATTCTCCCTTTTCTCTCTTTCTCTTTCATCTCTTCTCTCTATTCCCCTCTCTTTCATTCTCTCTGCTCTTTCCATCTCTCTCTCCCCTCAATTTTTCTCACTCTTTTTTCCTTTTTCTCACTCTCGCTTCCTCTCCCACTCTTACTTTCTCTCTCTCTATCTCTCCCTATCTCCTTCTCTCTATCTCTCTCTCCTTCCCTCTTTCCTTATCCCTTTCTCTCTATCTACTTCCCACCCTCCATCTCACTAGTCTCCCATCTCTTTCTCTCTCTCTCTCTCTCTCTCTTTGTCTCTCACTCTCTCCCACTTGCCCTCTCTTTACCTCGAATCCGTTTTTAGCGGATTGTTATTTTAAATATAAAAAATGGATATTTTGTTATTATAAGTATTATCCACCTATTTTAGATGCAAATGGGACTCCCTTGAGCTACTTTAAAGCAAAAATTTTAAATAAAATTAACTAAACGTGAACACCTAGAAATGGCTTTTCAACTTAAATCGTACTATGCAGATCATGAATCGAAGAAATACACACGCACACACATACACAATTCTAAAAAAACTCATCATTTGAGAACATCTTCCGTTCGACTCCCAGAGAAGTTTATGATACTCATTAGTTAAGCAAGCAAGCTAAACACAATCCAACGTTTGCTCATTCTTATTCAGCTCGTTCCAGTTCATTTTAATTACATAATTTAATTAACAATATTTGTTATAACTCTTTCATATTGGCTCTAAATTTTTATTTAAAAATATTAATTTTATTATAATTTAAATCGCTAGAAAAAAATTTCCGCCAAACACAAGCCGCGAAACAAACAAACAAATTTGAACACTTGACTCTCAAACTCACTCATTTACACCTCAAATCAATTGATTTTAAAGATCATGATGACGACAAACTACACCATTCTAATTTAAAAAGTAATATTTATTTCATATATTAAACTAATATAATTTTAACATGATTTATCCGTATAATAATAATAATAATAATAATAATTATGTCGACCAAATGTATTTTTGCATATTTCTATATTTTCCTTACTTCAAATGACATGTATAATATAGCTTTATAACGTGGTGACTTTCTGTTAACAATGCAGCCGCACATGGAGGCTACATTAATGTAGATGCATCCCTCAGGTCCACCCCTGTACAGTGATTTTGTTAAGTTAATTATTTTTTTCTTACTATGAAGTCAGAATAAATGATATTATTCAACATTATCCTTTCATTTACATATATATATAAGATCACTTACTCTTTTGG